TAACTCAGACAATCTTAATCACATTCCTAAGCAGTTATCCTGAGTTAACTCAGACAATCTTAATCACATTCCTAAGCAGTTATCCTGAGTTAACTCAGACAATCTTAATCACATTCCTAAGCAGTTATCCTGAGTTAACTCAGACAATCTTAATCACATTCCTAAGCAGCTATCCTGAGTTAACTCAGACAATCTTAATCACATTCCTAAGCAGTTATCCTGAGTTAACTGAGACAATCTTAATCACATTCCTAAGCAGTTATCCTGAGTTAACTCAGACAATCTTATTCACATTCCTAAGCAGTTATCGGTACACAGCATCAAATAATAGTGGTGTTTTAAACATTGAAAAAACAATGTAACAAAATAAGTGGTTTGTCTGCACATGCACACCAAAAATACATTAGAATCGAATCAGGATAAAAACAGATCTTAAATTATTCGTCAAAGTACAAAAACCAGGCCATGTTGTTGTTTGTTTTTTTACAAAAATAAAGTTAAATCAGTTTCTGATGTAAATTTAAAGGAATTATTCTTTAAATGTCACCCAGTCTAGCTTGAGGCCTAAGAGACATCTACCTTCAATATCTTTTGGCATTGTGTCACATTTGATGTCAATCAAATATGAGAATGGACTTTCAGGGGCCACCACTCTTTTCACAAAGCCATATTGACTTCCGAATGGCCCGTATTTTAACCCGAAGTTAGTTTCAAAGCCAAGGCTTTCAATTAGGTAACCACTGGTGATAACTTTTGTAATAAATTCATTTTTCTGCAGCTCGACATAATGATGCGCGATACTCTTTTGGCAATCTCCTTGCTCATATTTAAATGGACACAGGTGACCTGAGGTAGGGTCCCGATATCTCACTTGCAAGCCCCCAATTGCATCAACTACCATCCGCTGGATCCACAAATCAATGCTATGGATTTCAAAATTAGCAGGAAACTTTTGGAAACTTTTGATCTCCGATTCATAAGCGCCATTCATTTCGCTTAATGTATACATCAATATCTCAGGTGATGTAAATTTTCTAGGCTGTGACCATGACCCTGGGACTTCTGCAGCCACTCTCTCCGCCTCTACCGCCTCCTTGAGCCTTAATGTCTCGTGTAAATCCATCTCAACTGTTGCAAAGCAATGGTTCAAGGCGTCTTGTGGGATGAAAGGAAACCGGACAGCTCTTATCAGTCTTTGACAAACTGACGGATCATCAATTCTTCTATGTGTCAGAAAATGTAGCACTGTGTTCAAGGCAAGAATTTCTCTGTCTGCAGACTTGAGAAGAACTTTGTTGCTGTAAAGAACCAAGTTATCATCCTCCAGTATTCCGGCCAAGTACAACGGATCCAAAATTTGAAAGAACTCTGTTTTGAAAATACCTTCCCAGTTTTGTTTCAAGAAAGAGAGTGACTTTTCTTCCAGGCTTAAGAAAGAGTATTCGATGGCAAACATTAAAACATTGCAGACATTGTCCACATCCAAATAGGATGCCATGAACTTGATGCACTCTTTCCTCATGGTGTCAATTCGATAATAGTCTGCCGCAATGAGCACACTTTGAACATTGTCACTTGTCACATCAACTTGACCGGTGTAAGCAAACTTCAAAATTATGGCAAAATCCTCTGGTGATATTTTGTGGAGGGTTATGTCACCAGACTCCTTTTCGCAGTTCTACAGAAAAATACAGAGGAGACAAAACATGTATGGTGTGAAAGAGAGGGATATTTTCCAACTCTAATCATGAAAATTTTGCAAGTACGAAAGTTTACTAGGAAGATTAATGACCTCAATAATTTTTTTTTCTCAACACACAAAGTCAATGGGTGAAGTTGGTTATTTTAAACAAAAGACTCTCGAACCAAAATGTATCATGTACCGAAATTTAGAATGAAATAAGAAAAATGAAAATTTTCGTCAAGACAATGAGCAACACATTTCACAATCGTTTTTTTTTTTAATGTAGCTTGATCTTTGGTATAGCTTATTAGTTAGTAGTATTCTTATTTCCTTTTAAACATGGCACTTTTAGTTTTAAAAAAAATATTTTGATAATAAAAAGTTAAAAGACGTGGGGTCAACCAAATGTGCACTCAAAGAAAACTACTTTTTACTATTTTTACTACTATGTTTGTGGGTTGTTTGTTTTTTTAAATATGTCTTATTTAAAATATTGTTATGATTTTTTTTAACATAAGAGCAGGAAATATTACTTACGAATTTGAAAATGCTGATGTTAAATCTGAATTTTGAAAAGTTTTTTTTTAAATCAGCTCGCTTACACTTACTTACATGCGTAACATTTAAATCTGAAATTAAAAAAAAAAAAAGAATTACCTTAAACAAAGCTGTGAAGTAATCTGACAAGGCCACCATGACGAGCCGATGAGCTGGGAATTTCTCCTGATCAATCAAAAACGTAACATCAGTGTAAAGTCCCGACTTCCAGCTTTGAAAAGCAACTTCAACGAGTTTTTGTTGTCTCTTCGAAAAATAGCAGGAAAAATAAAAAAAAAATTTAAAAGAGTTTCATAATTTTTTTTTGTACCGGGTAAATACATTATGGGATAATACAATGTTTGTGATGTAATGATTTCAACAGAAGTGAGCAATGAGAGCACCCCACTGCATTCTCCTGGCCACAGAAATTACTTTAAAGTCTAACTGCAACAACAATAAAAGTTTTCTTTCTGGAATAAATGGTGCAATGTGTTATTTTCTGGAGTAAAGAAATATTATTTTTATATTTGTTGCCCTTTATTTTGATGGAAAGTTTCCAATTCATTTTTCTATTGCATTTCTTAATTGTGAGAATAATTTTTGAAATAAGAAGGTATTGTGCCTCTTTAGCAACATTTGGGGAAAGCAGAGGTTCATTCACATTTTGACAAGCTTAACAAGTTTGAACTACTTGAGGGAACTCAAAGTTGTGTGGCTCTGCCCCTCAGTGGAACTTAAGTCTACAAACTCTTCTGTTACATGTGTATTGACATCTGTGCCAGTTAAGAGAATCTTCACATGAAGTATGGTATACAAATTTGTCCCGGTACTCTCGTCAAATCAGTTAGTTTTAATTGCCTGCTACCGGTAGCTCCGTAATTCTTTAAAGTCTTGCCACTGGATATGGTTGGACCGGACGAGAGAGTGAGGTTGACGCCGCGCAACTCTTCCTCACCGGCGCAAGTCATCAGTCACCAGACGACTCGATGGTCCTCGTCGATTTTCAAAGGACGAACAATATATAATTCTTTAAATAGCAGATGAGCAGAAAGCTTATTCCTTGAAATAAGTGATTATTATGTTGTATTATTTATATAATTATATATTTTAATTAATTTTAAAACAACGTCATAAAATTTACCAGCAATAGAGGAATTAAAGAACGCATCGCTACCAGGCCTCGTTTGTACAGCAAAATTTATTTGAAACTCAGGTTTACATTGTCTGGTGGGGAAAATAATTCTTGTCCCCACGGTTTAGTTTGCGGAAATGTTATAGCATTGGTAGTTGGACTGATGAATGTTCCTCGCTCTATATATATTGTCATTAAATAGCAGTATCCTGTTCTTTGATGTATCGAATAAAATATTATATATTGTTACAATTGACCTCTTGCGTTCTATGTGAGAGAACGTCGTAGCATTTCAAGTACTACAAGGCTGTAACATTTGAAGTTACGAAGAAGGTCGTAACATAAACGATGGCACCTAACATTTGAAGCATTCATTCAACTCAAAACATAGTCATACAAAACATTTTTGAATACTTCAGTGAGATTTCAAAACTCCATCAAGGAATGGACTACATCATTTAGCAAAAGAATGAAGACACCTGAGAAAATTCTAGAGCAAATTTACTAAGACTTGGTTGTTAAAAACAGCTCAAATACTTTTGTCCAAAAAAACGATTGCAGAAAAAAAAAACATGCAATAAACTTGCTTTGTATTGTTCGAACAATGTTTTCTGCCCGCAGTTATTCACATTCCTTTGGCGGCTAACACAAAGGTCATTGACCTGGGATCGGAGCCAAAAGTCAGCTGCGAGCCATCAAGTCGTACTATTATTTCCAATGGAAAGTTTTAACTGGAAAAAATGACTCCCGCAAAAGTTATATATGATTTTTTTTTAAAATAAATTTACTTTTAAAAAGAATTATTCATTGGCGACCTACATATTCCTTATATAATGCTAATTAAATTCAGTAGTACTTGAACTGGTGCTAGGATAGATTTTTCTCCACTAATTTCACTACGGAGCAGAAACGTATCTAGGCTTATTACCGCCCGGGGCCAACACCTTTGTCAAACTTGATTGTAAACAAATCCTCAAACTTTATTATTTTTCGATTTATATCTGGGAGAGGTAAAACTTGTTGACGAGTTATTCCCCTTTAAAAGTTTAAAAAGTATCCAACTTGTGATTCGCATTTATAATATTAATTTTGGAACGTGCCGATAAAATCGTGGGTTAAAATTGGGAAACGTGCTGTCCACTGATTTTTAAATCAAATTGAATTGCCAAAACTTTTCAATATTCATTAACAATATTTGCAACTGTGATGATCTGGAGCTGGACTTTATAAAATTTCTTTGCCCGCAAATACGCCTTTGAATACCCTTTAGTATAACACCATTCCCTCCCTATGTTTGCCCGCAGTCGCTTAGCACGAGTGAGTTCCCTTGTGTTATCGCATTCCTGCATCAGTTCGCTCACCTCCAGAGCGTGCAATTTGCGGTCAACCCATCCCACCGAAAAACCTTGAGGAAATTAATACCGTCACCCCCTTCATTTCTGCCCTGGAGACAACTAAGCGGAGTAGCGCCCCTTAGTTGTTATTGCATTTCTGTACCAGTTTGCTCACGCATAAGCGTGAATTTGGATTTTCACTTCACCCCGAAAAACCTTGAGGGGAGGAGGTCAAACCCGTTACATCGAAAGTGATTGTCATTGGATGGAAAAACATACAACATTTGAATCACCCAATTGAATTATCACCTAATCGCCACCCAACTCGAATAAATAGTCTGAACAAGCAACAGTCTGTCTTTTATGAAAATGCTCACTTGACCGTGAACGCCTGAAGGATCTGGACTTAGAACTTCTCTAGCGTGATTCATAACTGCAACCTAGGACTTAGCAAGTACCCGTCTTTTAAGATCTAATCACTCAGTTGTGAACGATTGAAGTAACTGGACATATTACTTCACTAGCGAGATACTTAACTGCGACTGCTACCTAGAGTACTAGTAAGTACGCAACCATGATTTTGGTATCATGTTACTGCCCATGTATTTATATCATTCGTTCGTGTTTGATCTTATCCTAATAATGCCTATATTCATCTATATTGATATTATGAATTCTATTATTGATTTTTGCCGCGTACTACGACCCGCCGCCATTCCATCATGGGGATGGTAGGTGTTGCTCTAAAGTGCACATGTCTCTTTTAAAAAGAAGACAATATGAATATCATGTACCTATAATTTTAATGATTGTTAATGCTACCATGTCCCATACTTTATTAATTGAAATGTTTGCTTGGTCCAACATTGTCGCGAAGCAAGATCTGCTTACGCCGACAATGATCAGACTTATAATCCCATCCACCACTTGGATGTATATGCACGAGCTATGTCACCTTCAATACATCGATCTGAATTCGTTGCTGATGGAACGGTAATTATCAGCTTATGGGTATTCGCCTGGATACTCATTCATTTTTGTATCATTTTGCCTTTAGCCTGGTTTCTATTACTGGACCGACTTACCTTGAGCTGGCGCTAGGGGATTGATCTACATCCTACACCAAACTACCTGTCAGCTACCAAAAGGACTTCGAGTTCCAGTGACTCTCGCTACCACGATTCATCGCGGGAGAGTCATCTTCCCCATCGCAGACATTCCACGGAATCTACGACCGGGAACTCCGACTTCGCTACGCCTGGAACAGCTACGAAGGCCGGATCAGGGACACGCTTCTGGAACAGAAGAGACTCCCACACTGTGTGATCCACCGAGACCATCACAGAAACTATAAAGGCTAAGTTTACCAAGATCGAGCATATAACTTGAGCAATATAGCAGTAGTAATGATGATACCGTCTGTATGTTAGGGACACTTGTTTTGTGTTAATATACCTTTCTAATTGGATGAATTCCGTTTGATGTATACATATTAAGCACCACGAGTGTTTTATGGAGGAAGTTGTAAATATTATTGTGTAATAAATATTTGTAGTTTATTTCACCTCTAACTAAGACTTCGTTTCAGTCTAAACTATATGTATATAGATAGGTGTTATGTCTGTGTGGTAATTTGGCTCACATAACTTACCCCTAGACAGAGAGCCAAGAGGAGATCTCATACGAGAGATACTCCACACATATGTATTAAAAGTCAAATCACCACACGAAATGGGGGCCCGTCCGGGATCCTTTTCGAACAAACGGTAGCCAGAATAGTTTTTAGATAGACTGAATAATTTTGATATAAGCGACTTTTGAAAATTTATAAAATTTTAAGTCGAAAAAGGATCATAAATAAGTTAGAATCTACATTTGCTCTGCTCAAGATTTATGTTCTTTCTGCATAAGTTATTAAATTAATTTAATACTTATTGATGTTTATCTAATATAGCATTGATTTGTATATATCAAAATCATTGGTTCGTACTGCTGGTGTTCTAAGTTCTAAGTGGTAAGGCACTATCATACACCAACTATGGCGGAATATGTGCAGAGTGAAGCTGAACTTAGAATTGAAGGAGAATCGTATGGATTTACGGGAGAAGACCTCGACCAATACGTCATAGATCAATGGGCACGAGAGAAGAATAACACAGGCCAGATTAGAACATGAAGTACGGATGAAGGAGTTGGCCGACAGGGAATATGCCATCAGAATGGAGGAGTTTAGAATGAAAAGGGAACAGATAGAACAACTGAAGGAAGTAAGAAGACTTAAGGAGATAGATTTAGGGAAAGCCAAGCTAACGCAGGACACTGTGGCCCAAGCTCAAGGCACCGGCAGCCTGCTTAGTGCTATGTTATACCATGTTACAGATGAAATCATCTACTGTATGTCACTGGAATTACCCTTTGACCCGTATGAAGAGAAGTGGGAGACCGTTGACATCTACTTAAGGAAGTTTGAATATGGTGCCCGCGGTTACCCAAAGATAAATGGAATATCCGGTTAGCACTCGCGCTTGTCGGAGATGATTATGAAGCGTATAGCCCTAGGTGTGTCGATGATATCCTCAGCTATCCCGATCTCAAATCTGCGTTGTTAAAGAAGTATAAACCGACAAGATCAAGGTATAACAGAAGGCTCCGCAGCTCACAACTGGAAAAAAAAGGAAATAGAACTCCGTTGTAAACCAATTCGACCAGCCAGGAAAGATATAGACCATCGCAACTCCGCTCCCCATAAGAATGGTAAAGAATATTACAAGTATAGGCACGAACCAGCCAAGAACAAGCGTATC